AAGGATTAATCCTATAACCTGGTTAGGGGCCAACTGGGCCCCAATATAGATTGGTTTGGGCCAAATTAGGAGCCCAACCAGTGACCCATAAGGTCGGGCGGTGGCACCGCCAGACTAGGCGGTGGCACGACCCAAAACCTGAAGGATCAGGCAGTGGTACCATCGGACTGGGAGATGGCACCGCCCAGCACCTAAAAGGTTGAGCGGTGGCATTGCTAGTAAACTGTCAATGTGACATTGATAGGCGGTGGCACCGCCAGCTCCGGGAACCCAAAGGAATTCAAAATTTGGAGCCCAAATTTAAATCCTCTTGGGGTCTATAAATACCCCTCAATTCTCAGCAGAGAAGATACCTTTTGAGAAGTTAGAAATTGAGAAAAAGCCTTAAAAAAGTCTTTAGCAAAGTCTTATTTTTTCAATAGCTTAAGTGTTCATCTCCCTCTTTCTCTTAGAAAAATTTATAAGAGTGTGAACCACTTATAAAAATGTTGTAAGAGGGGTATTTGGTTCTTCCTCTTCAAAGTGATTTACTAGTGGAAGTTGGGAGCCTCATCGAAGAAGGCTTCGCAAGTGGATGTAGGTCATTTGACTGAACCACTTTAAATTGTTGTGTTCCTTGAATGTGTGAGTGTTTAACTTTCTGAAACATTTATTTACTTAGCAGCAAGCTTTTGGTTTTTATCTCCTTACTTTACTCTAGTTACTTTTACTAGGTCATTCTTTATCGAATCGAAATCTCTATACATTTACGAAATCATTTTCAAAATTATGAGTTTTAATCCGCTGAACTAATTTACCCCCCCCCCCCCTTTAGTACCGCTTCGATCCTAACAAGTTTTACAACATACAAGCTAGCAAATTTAAGGATGTGTAAGTTGGCATATTTGCTTTTCTTTGCGATGTGCAAGATAGCATATTTTTGCATCATCTTGAGATTTCAAGCTAGCAATTTTTGGTGATGTTCAAGATAGCAATTTATTCTCTTTTAAAAAGTACGATTATTTTTGCTTCCTTTGCAAAAACACAAGCTAACAAAATATTATATTATTTTACAATATGGAAGCTAACAATTTGGGATGTTCAAGAAGCAAGTTCTTTCTTCTCTTTTGAGAAGTACAATTTTTGTTTTCTTCTTGAATTGTGCAAGCTAGCATCTTTTATCTCCCCCTTTGTCATTGTCAAAAAGAAGGGAAGACCTTTTACATCAATTTTCAAATTATGACAAAGGTAAGTATCAATCTTATTTGTGCATCATTATATTTTTAAATTAAAACATGCATAATTTTAAAACCTTACATTTCATTTTTCATGCATGATGCCGAAAAATCAATCATCATTATGAGCATATCATATATGATACTAAAATATTAAAATTTTTAAGTATTTATCAATATTTTAATCATGATACCAAACATTCATCATTTAGAGCATTCATGATACAAAACATTAAATTAACATTTATAATACATCATTTTAGTAATAAATCATAGTATTTTAAATCATGACGGTATCTAAATATCAAATTACATTGTATCCCATATTTCATGTATATTTTTATTTCATCATGTTCATTTCATCTCATTAAGAAAAATTAATTGGGTGATGAATACAAGGAGTTATATAAAAATAAATCATAAGAGATAAGATCATGTAAATACCAAAAGATATGATTCATATATTAAATCTCCTCTTAAATGAAATACCAAGAAGAATCGTAGGAGAACGATTAATGAAAAATCTTGATTCATAATAAATCTTAATTTGTAAATATCAAGGAATCAAGATCATTATTTAGATAAAAATTTATTCAAATTTAAATCATCAAAATCATTTTCAAAGTCCAAGAGATTCGTAAAATGATACAAATGGATTCAGCAAAATCAATAAGATAGAGAAAAATAATTTTCAAGAAAAAAAGTTTTCCTCTTTTTAGTTGTCTCAATTCCTATGATTTTATTTCATTTATGACAAATAAAAACATGTCTCATTTTTAAAACCGAAAGAAAAATCACTTTTATTACCATGAAAATCGATAATCCATAAATCACAAAAATCATCATGCATCATTTCGAAAGAAAAACTCATTAAGCATGATCATTATGTATTACTTTAAATCAAACATAAATTCATTTATTTTCAAAATATTCATCATGATAGGACATAGAAATCATTAAACATAAAGCATATTTATCAATCATGGTTTCATTAAGCATAAGGCATTTTCAACCAAAATCATTTTGTTATTAAACATGTAATTTTCATGATTATTTTTAAAATTACTAGAATGATAAGCATAATTCCTAATTTTTGTATTTTCATTATTAAACACGTAATTTTCAAGAAAATTAATTCTAAACTAATAAAAAAATACATCATGAAAAGCATCATGTAATTTTGAAATAAACTAAGGGTATTTTGATTACCTCATCGTCGATGTTGTTAAGGTGTAGTTTGCCACCTCGCCTTTGTTGATTTTCTCCTCATCTTCGGAGGAGCTCGATTCATCCTAATTTGTTGATATGACAAAAAATGGCAGACCCCACTCTCGGCAACATCCCCCGCACGTGGACAGGCGCGGCGCCCCAGGGGGAGCAATGAGGGTGACGGTCTGCGTCCGGACGTCAGCCTCACTGAGCACACAGCCCCCTCGGTGGACCCAGCACAGTCGGACGAGACGGAAGCAGGTAACGATTGAAGCTCGCCCATACCCTGCGATCCCCCGGTCCCCCACGCAACATCCTCGGCGATGTCGGACGCCATCAGAGGTACGGCCCTGACCGACGGGATGGCACGCCCGATAATGCCGAGCCCCCCCTATAAACCCCCCCTAGCCAGGGGGAGAAGGGGGACTCTTCCTCCACTAAAAAACCGCCCCCCACTTCATTCTCTAACGGGATCGTCGGAGGGGTCGGGTCGAGCACCCCGACCCGACCTTTGTGCAGGTACCAAGCCGAGGCTCCCCGTCCGGACGCA